TATTTTAAGTACTGAAACATAAGCCTGTGTTCAGGGTAGAGAAGTTTAAAATTGCTTTCATCTTAAGGAGGAAAAGCAGATTCTAGTCTTATCATGAGGTGGATATTCCATTGTCTCTCACTTTGAATATGTGGCCCTATCTGTTTGCTAGAAAAATGTAGTGATGAAGATGGGCCATGTATGTTCACTAAACATTGATTAAACATCTCTTGTGTGCTAGACACCTAGAGATACAGTCATAGCTCTTTTATTAAGATTTTATGGTTTTCATTATAGAAAGACATATAACAGCAAACTGTCTTATGCCTTTGTAGGGGGAACATTTAATTCTTGGAATGCTAACAGATGAAGAATTGTTTTTTGAGAAGGATATGTTTTTATCTAGTTGTAAGGAAAAAGAAGGTGTTACGAAAGAGTGGCAGTGGCCACTTGGTTGCTAAATGAGGAAGGAAAGGCTTGTGGCCAAAGCAAGTTGCATTTTAAATTTGATAGAAGATCCTAGAGATAAACAAAAATCAAATTCTATGAAAGGAGTCATATTTGACTTAAAAAAGATCTTAACTAGCTGCTTGGGGAGAGTTTTTCACAGTTGTGCTTGTGAGCTCATGACTGATTTTTAACTAGGGGACGTTTTGAGGGTTATAATCTAAGGAAATAAAGTGCCTCTTTGCCCACTTGTTTCTCTGTTAGACCTATATATGAATACCTCTGAGCTCACACTTGAATCAGATGGCTTACTATACTTTGTAGAACCGATCGATCACTTCTAAGTGACTTTTAGTAGTGTTGGAGTAGACTGCTTGTATCTGATAAAAGCCTTGGATTTAGATTAAGTGCTTTCACATTCGTACTGGTGCTAGAGTAGGGAAAAACGAACGGTGCAGTAAATGAGTGTTTCTAAACCATTTAGGTGTTGTTCAAGGAATGATAACAGGAATTCGAGGATTGTGCAATGGTCTGGGACCAGCCCTTTATGGATTCATATTCTACATATTCCACGTGGAACTCAAGGAACTGCCAATAACAGGAACAGACTTGGGAACAAACACAAGCCCTCAGCACCACTTTGAACAGGTAATTCTGCATTCACATGATAGATATTATATAGTTCATTTGTCTGGATTGAAAGATACCATAAATGGTTTTTGCTACTAAAGCTTCTATGTGAGTTCTTAGTATTTTAATTTAAATAAAACACTTAAAAACCAAAGCCTAAGAAACTGTTTCCTCTTGTATACATTACTCTTCGTGAAATTGGCTGTGGGTACTTTTTTTGCCCTGGGGAGTTAAAAATTATTTAAATATCTACTTTGTCAAATTACACGTAATGGCATATGTCAAACCATTCTGTATACTACTTCTTGTCTTTTTGTGTGAGACTTTTGTAATATCACAATTCCCTTTGTTCCCTGCCTCCTACGTGAAAAGTTAGTTATGTGGTGGTAAACATCTTTGTTCACTTGTTTGCCATACCTCCCTCCTTACAACTGAAAGTTTTAATGGCAAACAACATCGATCATTTTAGCCAATGCAAACAGCTCATCAGTTTCCTTATTTAGCAGAGTCCCACATTAATCTTTCAACTGTCTACAACAACTTCTAAGTAAAAAGGAATGTTTGTGTGCTATACACAAATAAAATCAGCAGTGCAAGTTTTTGCTAAGAATGAAGGTAATTTTGGGCTAAAACAAAGATCTGCTTTGATTCTTTTTTTGTGTGTTTTCCTCACTTTCAGTAATTACCTTTTTTTTTTTTTTGTATTTAGGTTTGTTTTATTGGAGGGATGCACAAGTAGTGAATATTAGAAACTATTAAAAATTCACTGAAGCATTCATATTAATATGGTGAACTCCCACTGGTTTTGTGTTGTGAAGTAGGCATTCTTTTTTTTTTTTTCCAGTAATTACCTTTTTGAGACAAAGAAAACACTAATTGATTCTGCAGTTCTGGAGTTAATATTGTATGCTGCTTGATTTTACTTTTGAGATCTTTCTATAAATTTTTCCTTTTAAACTAACAAATTACTTAGAGGATCATAGAACATCAGTGTTCAGATTTGGTGCTGAAGGTGGCAATATGGTGTTTTTGCATAGGCTTTTTTTTTTTTAATCTTTTGGCCCTGTTTCTTGGGTCATTTGTTATCCTCAGGACTTTTATATTGAGAGTATGACAGTGTCCCCTTTCCCCTAAAAAGGGAATGTTTTATAACTGTGGCTTTAATGAGAGATGGGAGCCATTGCGTTTAATGCATAGCTGTCAGTTTCTAACAGATAAGCAGTTTCTTCTGAACAAAGGTATCTGTGCAAAAATCCTAATTACTTTCTCCTTCCTCAGAATTCCATCATCCCTGGCCCCCCCTTCCTCTTTGGAGCCTGTTCGGTACTGCTGGCTCTGCTTGTTGCCTTGTTTATTCCGGAACATACCAACTTAAGCTTAAGATCCAGCAGTTGGAAAAAGCACTGTGGTGGTCACAGCCATCCTCATAGTACACAAGCCCCAGGAGAGGCCAAAGAACCTTTACTCCAGGACACAAATGTGTGACGACAGAAATCAGGAAGATTTTTCTATCAGCACCCAGGTCTTAGTTTTCACCTGTAGTTCTGGATGTACATTCCATTTCCATCCACAATGTACTTTTAAGATTGTCTTAAGAAATGTATCTGCATGAACTTCGTGGGAACTAAAGAAAGAACAGGATGGTTTTCCAAAGATGTTACAATTTCTTTTAAACAGAAACTTTTTGTTTATTAGCACCAATTTCTTGCCACTAAGCTGTTTGTGTTATTATACATCTTTTAATTAAAAAACTGTATATGTAACTTCTTAGCTATTAGCATATGTCTCTGCTTCCATTTCCTTAAGGTGTTGAGCTTTAACTCTCTGCTGAGTCTCAGTGAGACAGAGTAGGTAGTATGGTTGTGGACCTGTTTGTTTTAACATTATAAAATCTTGAGTCAGATTTTAATACTGTAAAATCTTGGGTCAAATAATTCAAAGCCTTAATGCAGATGCACTAAAGAAATGGTAATGAATTGTTTGCATTAAAAAAACTTAAGAATATTGTACTAAATCTGAATCATGTTTCATGCTTGTTTGCAGTAATTTTATTTTAAACATTATTCACTACTGTTTTTGATGTGAGAAAAAAATACCAGACATTTAGAATTTAAATCGGGATGTTTAGAGCCTATAAATCTAACTGCTGGTTCGAATTTGTTCCCCAGCTACTTCTTATACCACTGTTCTTTTAATGTTTGCATAATCGTAAGAACCTCAACACTTGAATACATAATCTAAAAATTATATAGTAAAGCTGGTAGCCTTGAAAATGTCAATGTGATATCTATATGTAGATAAATATATATAGTGGCCTTTCAGGACTGTCACAGTAACTTTATTTACAGAGCTAATGTTTGTCCTAAATTTTCAGGACCCTAGAAGAGAGCTTTATACAATTACTGATGTGAATTTCTCTAAAGTGTATATTTTTGTGTCCAGTTATATTATTTAAAAAAGTGTTACTTTGTAAAAATTGTACATAAAGTATTGTATAGTTTACAATGTTTTCATCTTGTGTGTGGTTATTGCTTAATGCTTTTTAAACTTGGAACATTCACAATGGTTAAATAAGGTCTTAAAAGAATGTAAATATTCTGTTAATAAAAAATTTAAATATTTAATAATTTTTTTTTTTTTAAGTCTTGATCAGTGATTCCCTACAAGGCCTGTTTTGGCATTATTTGTTACCTTAATCAGTTTTTACAGTAACAAAGCTTTGTGCCTTCTCCCTTTGAATCCATTTTCTTTTCCCTAACTATAAAATATTCTTGTAGTAAGAGGAAAGAAATGAAAACTTAGTAATTAACTTGAAGAACTTAATTTTCTAAGCATAGATGTTGTAGATCAATTGTTTGTTTTTATACTTTTTACATCATACTCCCAAAGTAATTTTAATACTTTATTAACAAAGTTCACACAAGTTTTCAGAAATACATTAAATGCAACATTTTGATTATTAACACATGTACAATTTTACACTGCAAAACAATTTCAGCTTAATGTTTTTAAGAGGTAGAGCAAAGAAGTAGCGCACTAGAAGTCTGTACATACACATTTAATACAAAAAATCTTTAGCTGGTTGATACCAAAATGATCGTCTACCCTACCTTGGAAATTCTTCGAATTTTTCCACATGTGAATACAGAAAATGATACTTATTTAAAGAAGAAGGAAGAGCTACCTGTATGTCATATTTCCCATCCAAACCCTGTCACAATGTTTATTAATTATTTACAACAAAACAGTCTACTATCACCAAGAGGCTTCTTTCCAGATTATTAGTCAGTGCTTTTAAGTTATTGTAACCCAGTATTCTTACTAATATAGTATATCATCTATCTAAAGGAGGAAAAACTGTATATAAAAAGTCACTGCCTGTTATTAAACTGAATTTTTTAGATCTGATCCCAGAAGCCTGCTTGAAATTGCCAGCTGTGTTCCAGAGTTTCAGAAAACTCAAAATAATGGTTTTGTAAAAAAAAAAAAAAAATTAGCTAAGATTCTTTGTCTTACCATGGAGCCCTATAATGTTGGCATGTCATTATTTTAAAATGCCTCTTTTCTCACCTATGTAATAAAGTACTTGAAAATAATTCTTAAAATATCACAAGTATTAGAAACTCTTTGCAAACAAAAATTGATTTTGAAGATTCTTAAGAGAATGTTATTCTGTACTGGGGGGTTGTCACCAAAAATCCCAAAATGGGTCCCTATGATTCTGGGTAAATTTTTTTAAATTACCTCTGGAACAATTCTTGAAATTATTTCAGATAAAGGAAAGAGAGCTTTAACTTCTAACAGGTATTCGTTTGCCGACTTTATTAAGCAAACATTAAAGTGAATCTAAGTTCTGTTACAAAAAATATTCATGATGCTCTTGTAGTAAAGATTTTGTACATTACCAATTGTAAAACAAAATTCCATTGATATTTAACTGCATGGCAAACTAATAAAACTCCAAAAAATGCTTCTTTTTAAGAAGCAGCATTAAAATCTTAACGAACTTTTCAGTTCAAATGACTAAAGCACTTTATAGCAAATCTCGTCATGTCCAGTTATTTTTATAGTAAGTGTGTAAAATTATTTAATAGACTTATTTAATAGCAAATTTAAAGGTTTTAAGAAAAACATTTACTCTGATGTCTAATTCATTTCATTCATTCAAGGTAATTTTAGGACTTTTCCCTTTAATGTCAACATCATCAGTAATAGAGATCTCTTAGAAGATAATCATTTTCCCTCATAATTTTCAGGTGACAAATTTAAAACTTTATTTTCCAGTGAAAATGATGAAATGATAGCATTCTTTGGTTTCATACTATTATGTTCTGGGCAGTTTTCAATTTACCTAGATACCCAGTATGATTAGAATGTCCCTTATAAAGATCAACTCTTTCCTTAGAACTGAAGTTCCAAGGATTAATTTATTAAAATTCATTTAACCAGTATTCCATAAAACAGCACCGTGTTCACATACTGAAAAGTCTTTTACTCAGAATCTCACCAATCCCCAAGTACAAATTTGTTCATCTAAAATGTCTTACATAAATGACAGCAATACTTAATAAAGGACCAAAACGTTAATACAGCAGTAGTGCAAATACAATCTGAAACTTGCTTATTTGATAAAGATTTGATCTATGCTGTTAACACACTTTTAAACCACCTGAGTTTCTAATACTTCAATAAAAAGTAAAAGACGACATTAGAATTAACTGTTTGGTAACTGTCCAGGGAAATATGCTGAAGATGCAGAAGGGAGCACTGTGGGTTTTGATGATGTCTGTAATGCGCCTAGAGTGCTGTCTTTCTGATGGTCTGCAAATGAGGACAAAGAGAGATTTGTATTCATTTAAACCTTTATATATACTTTCCATTAAACCAAAGTGTACAAAATCCATTTCAGAAATGTCTTCTCACCTGGATGATTAAATAGATTCTGGCTGAGCCCACGTAAAGGAATGCTGTCTTCCCTTTTCTTCAGATATTTGGATTCCAGCCCCAAATTTTCACCACTTAAAAAGAAAATAGTAATTGTTTACTTATTTTAACAAATACTGTTTTTCTCTTTAGTAGTTAATTTTGCAGGTTAATATAGAAGGTACCCTTCTTCACAGTATAGATTATTATAAATCAAACTAAAAATTCTAAGAGCTGGGATAAGGACTGGTGGGGGAAAATAAAATTCTATAATTATTATAAAATTTGCAACAGCATAAGTGATATTTGATAGAAGAAAAATATATGTGCACATGCCTTCAAAATCGTTTCGTTGGTAATTTCTATCTCATTCTATATTTAAAATGATTAAGATTTCTTTTTCTATTGGCCAAATACTCTTCAAAATTTCACAATGCTTCAAAGTTGTCATTAAAATACTAACAAATTATGTAATAATGAATTCTGGTCAGATGAACACAACTGTTCGGATTTTAGAAAAATAATGGGCATTTCTGTAGTTGTATTTTCCCCCATTCTACCACTTCCTTCTTTCTAAATCTGATAGTACACTCAAGTGAAAGTCTCTGGCAAAATAATAACTTTTACCTTTCAAACTCGATGGCCTTTTCACAATTTTCAGAAAAGAATTAAGTTGATGAATAGGTATTTTTTTCAATTTTAACTTTGTTTTTTCCTTTAACCTTTGATATCCACTGCCACTTTCTGCTAGTTACGAGTTCTAAACAAACAACAGCTGAACTGGCCAAGTTTTATGGACATATGATTATGTTTGATTTTATATTGCAAATACGATCACCGTATTTTCTGCTAGTAAATTTGCTCTTGATTTGTATGATGGAATTAAATATGCAAACATTGATAGTTTTCTACCACTAATATGAATTCCAGATTTTCTGCCTCTTCAATAAGTGTGAGATTAAAGATTAAAAATACACACATTTCGAGACTTCAAAGAATTCTGACATTTTTCAAAATAGAGGCTCACAAATACTATTTACTACTGTCTTGGTACCACTTTCAGAAGATCCAATGACTAAAGGTCAGAGAGCTAGCCTTAGGATTCTCTTTGAGCTGTGTTACTAATTTGCAGTGTATTGGGGATGCTAATAAGTCATGCTAATGAGTGTCGCAGACAGGCCTTAAAGCTGTTAAATTTAAATAAAGAAGAAAGCATAAGAAAACAATATTAAAAGCATGAAGACTACTCAGACAAGTTTACATGTATGACATGTTTGATTTAGTCACAAAATTCACTAGGCAAAACCTGCTTAAGATCTAAAAAATACACAAGAAATCTCTAAGCAGACAAAACAGAAGTCACTAACTAGCATTAAAGCTTATTTATGTTACATACAAGACATAAGCTCCTTTGCTCATATTTACCATACAATTCTAGCTGGTTTAACTATTTTCTTGGATTACTTAACACTGGAAGCAATAAGAAAAATGGAGTGTTCCCAGAGGCAAACATACTCATACAAAACAACAACCAAAAAAGCAGCTGACTGCAAAGAAAAATATTTCCATCAACATGCCTGAAAAATAGAAGGACAATCTTCAGGAAGTACTTACTTTTCCTTATCAGATGAGCTAGGCATATTAATAGTTGCTCCTGACTGGACATCTCCTACAGATGTATTTGGTTTTGTAAACTGTAAGTTAAACTGAACCTGTGAAGAGAGAAAGCATATAACAATTACTGAGAATGCATACAGTTCTATATTGAGATGATGTTGTTGGCTGCTGTCAAGTTGGCCCCTGACTCATGGCGACCCTATGCAGAACAGGGCTATTGTGATCCACAGGGTTTTCACTGGCTGATTTTTCAAAAGAATGCCAGGCCTTTCTTCCTAGTCTTGGTCTGGAACCTCCAATGAACTGTTCAGGATCATAGACAGCAACATGCAAGCCTCCACTGACAGATGGGTGGTGGCTGTGCTTGAGGTGCATTGGCTGGGAATCAAACCTACGACTCTTGCATGAAAGGTGAGAATTCTACCACTGAACCACCACTGCCCCTCATATTAACATAAAATGAAAAACCCAAACCCATCGCCATGGAGTCAATTCAGACTCATAGCAACCCTATAGGACAGAATAGAACTGCCCCGTAGGGTTCCCAAGGCTGTAAATCTTCACAGAAGCAGACTGCCACATCTTTCTCCTGCAGAGCAGCTGGTGGGTTTGAACTGCCAACCTTTTTGTTAGCAGACAAGCTCGTAACAACTAAGCCGCCAGGGCTCCTACATATTGATATGAGGTGGTTAAAAGTTTATTCTGAAAAATTCAGACCATAAAAATACAGGTTCAACCTATATTTTCTAACACTCAAGCACATTTTATTAAGAAGATTTAGTTTAAAAAAAAAAAAGCCCTATTTCTCCCTGCAAGGAACCAAGCAAGTTCCTTGGTTACAAGCAAGATGATTCATACAAAATGATTCTCTTAATTATTTGGACACAAAAATACAAACACTAACATATTTAACATAAGTGTTATATTGTTAAAAGTAACCAAGTACTGCAGCAATGCATTTATTTGTCTAATGTATTCTGAGAATTCTTCCTCTTTCAACAACTTTCAAAGCCTATGTTATATTCATTTAAGGATTCCAAATGAGAGCTAGTAATCTGAATTTTGGAATAATCAAAAATATCAGCACATAAAATCTACTGGTATATTTAAAGTAACAATGTTTAATGATCAAGGAATGTATAGATGGATTCTATACTGGAAAATCCATAAGCATAAATTACCATATTAATCAAAGAAGAAAAATCGTAGCCACTTACATAGAAAAGAAAAGGCATTTGAAAACAGTAAACATCTATTATGGGGTAAATTCAACAAAATATGAATAGATACTAGCTTAATATAAAATTGTAAATTAGAAAGGCATACACTGCTGTACTTGACTATCGAGGCTCAATATTGTAAAGAAGTTCTCTCCACATTATTCAACATGTTTAAAATGGTAACATTAAACACAAACAAGGTTTTTTTTAGATACGCTGATTCTAATACTCCTCACAGAAAAATAAACACGCATGAAGAGCAAGGAAAAGACAGGGTACTAGATATTAACATATGATAGAGCTTGCAGACACTCAGCATAAACAGTTAGAAAACTGAATGATAAATGAAATGAATATTCTCAGATACTGGATAATAGGTAATGCAGGACTGTGATTTCTGAGAAAAGTGTGATCACGACAACTGACCCACTTTCTAACTGGAGGGCGCTTTCCAGACTGCAGGTTCAGAGGGAGAACACGCAGTCTGGAGGTCTTGCAAAACTGAGGAGACCAAGATCAGAGCTTAGGAAGGCTGGGGTGGCTGAAGGTTTCCAGGGCAGAGTTATAGAGTAAAGGGAGCTATACAGAAAAAAAGCACCAGAAATCTGCATATGGTTCCCCTTGAGTCTTTGCCAGTACTAGGCATGTGCTTCACAACTTACCATACAGCTACACTGACAAAGACATTGTATTACTGACAAAAGGAATAGACAAACAGATCAATGGAACAGAATAGAGCCCAAAAATAGACCCACACAAATACAGTCAACTGATTTTGACAAAGGAGCAAAAGCAATCCAATAAAGGGTAGTCTTTTCAACAAAAGGTCCTAGAAGTGGACATACATGTGTGAAAAAATTAATCTAGATTTTGACCTTATACCTTTCACAAAAATTAACTCAAAATGGATCATAGGCTTAAATGTAAAATGCAAAACAATAAAACTCCTAGAAGATAACACAGAAGAAAATCTAGATAACTCTGGGTTTGCCAGTTAATTTTTAAATAGAACACTGAAAGTATGATCCATGAAAGAAAAAATGATAAAGACTGATTTTATTAAAATTAAAAACTCCTGCTCTGTGAAAGATACTGTTAAGAGAATGAAAAGATAAGCAACAGACCGGGGGGAAATACCTCCAAAACACATATCTGATAAAGGATATGTATCCAAAATACACAAAGAACTCTCAAAACTCAACAATAAGAAAAAATCAACACAATTAAAAAGTGGGCAAAAGGTCTGAACAGACACTTCACCAAAGACATACGTATGGCAAATAATTACATAAAAAAATGCTCAACATCGTAAGTCATTAGGGAATTGCAAATTAAAACGACATTGAGATACCACTACACACCTATTAACCCATTGCTGTCAAGTCAATTCCGACTCACAGCGGCCCTGCAGGACAGAGTAGAACTGCTCCGTTGGGATTCCAAGAAGCAGCGAGTGGATTCAAACTGCCGACCCTTTGGTTAGCAGCTGAGCTCTTAACCACTGTGCCACTAGGGCTTGTCTTCCAAAGTGTCTATAACATTTTGCATTCCTAGCAGCAATAAATGAGAGTTCCTGTTGTTCCACAACCTTGCTAGCACTTGGAGTTGTCAAGTGTTTTGCATTTTAGCCATTCTAACAGATACACATCTATTATTGCTGCTGGAAATATAAAATGTTACATACATTTTGGAAGACAACTTGGCAGTTTTTTTTTTTTTACAAAGCTAGACATAATGTTACCACATGATCCAACTCCTAGTTGAAAACATGTCCGCCCAAAACCTGCACACGAATGTTTATAGCAGCTTTGTTCATGATTGCCCAAAACTGGAAGCAACCAAGATGTCCTTCCTTCAATAGGTAAATGGATAAATAAACTGTGGTACATCCATACATGGAATGTTATTCAGCGATAAAAAGAAACGAGCTATCAAGCTACAAAAAGACACGCACATTGCTAAGTGAAAGAAGCCAGTCTGAAAAAGTGACATATTGTTATGATTCCAACTATATGACATCTGGAAAAGCCAAAACTATAAGGACAGTAAAAAGAGCAGGGATACCAGGGGTTCCAGGGCTGGGGGATAGGAATGATTAGGTGGAACACAGGGTTTTTAGGACAGAAAAACTATTGTGTATGATATGGTGGATACATGACATCAAGCATTTGTCAAAACCCACAGAACTGTACAACACAGAAAGTGAACTCCAAAATAAACTATGGAGCTTACTTAATTGTAACAAATGTACCACATTAATGCAAGATATTAATAATAGAAGAAATAGTATACAGAGTGGGGAGAGAGTATATGAGAACTACAACAGGAAATACAATAAACCTATTAGAATGGCAAAACTCCAAAACATCAACACCACCAAACGCTTGCAAGGATGCGGAGCGACAGGAACTCTCATTCATTGCTGTTGGGAATGCAAAATAGTACAGACACTTTGGAAGACAGTTCAGCAATTTCTTACAAAGCTAAACAATTTACCATACAATTCAGCAATTGTGCTCCTACGCATTTACCTAAATGAGTTGAAAATTAATGTCCATTTAAAAACCTGCGTGCTAAAGTTTATAGCAGTTCTATTGATAATTGCCAAAAATTGGAAGCAACCAAGATGTCTTCTACTGTATCAATATAGTGGAGTATTATTCAGCAATAAACAGAAATGAAGTATCAAGCTATAAAGAAACACAGATGGTGGGATTGTAAAATGGTACAACCACTATGGAAAATGGTACAGTGTTTCCTCAAAAAGTCAGAAATACCTTATGATCCAGCAATCCCAATCCCAGGTATATACCCTAGAGATCCAGAAGCAGTGACAAGAATAGACACATGCACACTTATGTTCATTGCAGCATTATTCACAATAGCAAAAAGATGGAAACAACCTAAGTGCCCCTCAACAGATGACTGGATAAACAAATTGCAGTATGTACATAAAATGGAATACTACGCAGCTATAAGGATAATGATGAGTTCTCAAAACATTTTATAACATGGGTGAATATGGAGGACGTTACGCTGAATGAAATAAGTCAATCACAAAAGGACAAATATTGTATGATCTCACTTTTATAAAAAGACAAGAATAGGTATACATACAGAAGCAACATTCTTTGATAGTTACCAGGGATTGAAAGGGGAGTGAGGGAGAATCACTTTCTAGATAGTAGACCCTTGTTATTTATGATGATGGGAAAGGCAATACTGAATGCAGGTGAAGTCCACACAACTTGACTGAGGTAAATAAGGACACTAAGAAGTACATAAGAACAAGCAACACTTCTGGTAAATGCTATATAACATATACAACTTCTCAACAACAGCACTAACCAAAAAATGTGTGGTTACATAGGTAGATATGTATGCATATATGTACATTTGTTGTTGTTGCTGTCGAGTTAATTCTGACTCATAGCAACCGTATAGGACAGAGTAGAACTGCTCCACAGAATTTCCAAAGAGTAGCTGGTGGATTTGAACAGCTGATCTTTTGGTTAGCTGCCTGAGCTCTTAACCACTGAGCCACTACGGCTCCATATACATATATAGGAAGGTATTTGTGAGTAAATGTGTGTGCATGTATGGGTGTATCTGCAGGCATATGTATATACATGTTTGTGTGTGCTGCATATATATTCATATACATAATAAATCACACAAGGGGCAGTTACAGATACTTCTAGACATAATCACATACCTCACGGGACTGGTTTATTGGGTTTGAAGGCATAGGACCACAATCTCATAGGACAACTCAATCAACTGGCACAACATAGTTTATAAAGTTTATATTCTACATCCTAGTTTGGTGAGTAGCGTCTGGGGTCTTAAAAGCTTGTGAGCAGACATCCAAGATA